CAGGTAAACTTCACCTACCGGGTATAGCCTTCCTTTGTCACGAAGCAAGTTTATAAATTAAAGAAAATACTTGCAGTGTGTTTAATATATTACAGTATACAGTGAACCCTCACTTTACGCGGTTAATTCAACCCACGACGGCCCGTGTAAAGTGAGAAACGCGTAAAGTGAACAACATAACATATGGGATTAATTGAAATAATGACCGGGCCGACCCCCAAACTCCACTTTTCCAGACACAATACCTACGTTGTAGTAAAAATAACTTCTTAATTTTATGATGGTATGCACACACAATTAATAATTAAGAGAAATATCAATAATATTAGGTTTTTTAACACTTACATTAGTAGAAAAGATGGCTGGGCACGGGGATGGGGGTTGGTTCCGAGCAGAGGGCAGATTATTGGCCCTCACCTGTATCACTTGTATCACTATCCACCACAGAGGCTTGCAGGGCCTCTTTGTCAAACCCCTCAAAGTCCATATAAGTCCATATCCTCACTATCACTGACTTGGGCCGGCTGTGGTGGGTGGCGGGTGAAGAACTCGGTAATGTTTTGATGACTGGGAGACCTTGTGCGCACCCTGCTTGCGCCGCTCTCTGCGTAAAAGGGTACACACACCGCGGAAAGTGAGGATTCCGGTTTTGGCAGGGTACCGCGTAAAAGTGGAAACGCTCCAAGTGGGACCGCGTAAAGCGAGGGTTGACTGTATTATAAATAAATAAATAAACAAATTAATCGGTAAATCCATTTCAAGTAAATGGAAAATTTTTACTAAACACCGACATTAGTTCCAGTTAAATAACGGACGCTTAAGTGACATCACTAGTGTTTACACTACACCAGGCGGTAACATTTGATGCCATTACTTAAAGTGAATTGGCCTTATTTTAAATAACCATGGATGTGTAAACAGCATTGGTCAGTGGGATGGTTGGTAAAGGACTACTGGATCAGTAAGCTCCCAATGGTAAGTAACACATTTAGGGTAGTCTTATACAGCAAATAGAGCTCAAAAACCTACTTTTTAAATGGAAATTTTGGGGGTCGTCTTATACACCCCGTCGCCTTGTAGGCCGAGATATACGGTAGTAAAATTAATGGAAAAAAAACTGTATGTATCTTATAATTAGTGTTATGTAATGTACGTACAATAGAAGTGATCAATGAATTGGTAGAGAAAAAGTGAGACTGCGCGGGAGGCCAACATATGCACTCATGGAAGCAGTATCATTTAACACACACACACACGAATTAAGACAACAAGAATCCAGTGAGGGTCTTGTTGCGTGACTGCATGGAGGAGAGATAAACATTAGCTGTTAAGGAGCGCTTGGCAACACTGGTGCGTGTTATTACTCCATCTCTGTATTTGAAAATGTTACAACACATAATATTGAAGGGATGCAACTTTGCTCATTTATGCTTATACTTATCACAATCTCCCTAAAAATACTTTAGTTTTTTCTTTATTCAAGATATCTTCAGGTCATAAGACCCACTAATCCCCCACCCAGGAAAGGGTGACCTGATATTGTGTCAGTAGGTCAGTAATATGAGACAACATATCCCCCAGCCTACCTCCACCTAACATTGCATCAGGTCAAGTCAGTTACAGGAGACCCACTAATACCCCATAGCTCCATGGGAGTGGAAAATATCAGTCTTTGCTGTAGCACACAGCTTCATTCACACCTGTACCATATAGATTCTTAAATTGAAAATATATTAATTTAACCAAACTTTTAGATAAATTATTCTGGATTATTACTGTCGGAAAAAAGTGGACTTTCTTACTTACTTTGAACTACTTTTACAGACTCCAGTAGCTTAGAATCTTGGAAAACTTTCCCCAGCACCCAGAAAATATTCTGAGGATGTGGGCTAGTGTCTGTCTGTGCAAGATGCGTAGTTTAGACACTCGGAAACTTTTCCCAGTAACCGGAAAAATTTCTGGGGATGGGGGATTTTCTCATGTTTGAGATAGTCATCTGGTTAACCGAAAATTTCTCATCCCTGGAAGTGCTCTGTACCAACTGTTCCGGCTAGCGAGGTCATCGCTGTATGTAGTTTTATAACACCAATTCATTTATATAAGTTGAGTAAAATACATATTCAAGACAGCATAGACAACTATGTTTGAGGGCCATACATTCTTAACTATTTACATTTAGCACATGTGATGTAGTAAAGAAGCTCACCCAAAGTTGCATATCATTCTTAACACCCCTTCTCTAAATATTTCTTTGTGGCTTTACAGACACAATCTAGGTAAATGCTAGTCATAGGTTGTCTGAAATCCCATACCATTACAGTAAACCCCCCGCTTTACGCGGTTTCACTTTACGCGTTTCCCTGCAGAACACGGAAAGCTCACTTTACGCGGTGTGTGTACCTTTTTACACGGAAAGCGGCTGGCGGTCCTCTCGCGCTGCGCCATTTTTGGATCCAAACCTCCCGCCATCCCTCCATGTTGGGTATGCGGCGCGAGTAGTTTCTGCAGTGTATGTCTTTGTTGAGTTATCGGTGATGTCATATGACGTATCGGACTGTGATTGGGCCAAGCATCCTTACCTCCCTCCCCCACTAGCTGTGATTGGTTTAATGTACTATGACGTGCCCCGCCGCGGGAGCATTCAAGCCCCTTGACCTACCCGCGTCAGTTACACCCCTCCCGGCTACACCGTGTATATCGGTATCCATTGTTCCATAAGAATGACTTCCACCGGACCACTACCACAAAGAAACCTTGCATTACCTGGACCCAGCCGCCCTAAGCTAAAGAAGACACAATGTTCCTTAAGCTACGAAATTAAATACAAGATCATCCAAGAGTTGGAGAAAGGACCAAGACAAGTTGACCTCGTGCGCCAGCATGGTGTTAACGAGTCTACGATCAGGACAATTAAGAAGGATGCAGCCAAGATAAAGGAGCATATGAACATCACAAAGTCTACAGGTGCTTCTATGATCAAGTATTGCCACAACCAGGTGCTTCTCAAGACGGAAAAATTACTTGTGAGCTACTTGGTGCGTCAGGCGCGATGGAACATGGCGGTGGACACGCGCTCAGTTAAGGAGTACGCACGTGAACTGTATGCTGCAGTGTCACGAAAGATGGGAATTACAGAGCCCAAACCGTTTATTGCTTCCTCTGGGTGGTTACAGAGGTTTAAGAAGAGAAACAAGATCACCAATATCAACATTGGTGGTGAAGAAGCTAGTGCTGACCGTGTTGCGGTTAGCGAATTTCCTCCGTTTTTACGTGAGATTATGGAAGAAGGACAGTACACCGACGACCAGGTGTTTAACATGGACGAATCTGGTCTTTTTTTGGAAAAAGCTACCTTCCAAGACCTTCGTTGTGAAGAATGCCAGCAAGTGTTGGGGCCGGAAGTTGGAGAAGGAGCGCATCACCGTCCTGTTTACCACCAATGCCTCCGGTACCTGTAAGCTCAAGTTATCGGTGATCCACACAGCACGCAAGCCGCATGCCTACAAGAGCATGGACATGACCAAGCTAAATTCTGTGAGCAACACAATGTTCCATTCAAGATTTTGTTGCTGCTAGACAACGCACCAGGACACTCGCCCCTACTATTAGATCGTCACCCCAATGTAAAAGTGGTCTTCCTTCCTCCCAACACTGCCATTTATCCTGCCCATGGACCAAGAATTGATCTGTAATGTGAAAGCTGCATTCTCTGCAAAGAAATTTAAGCTCCTGAACGACTATACCAACACCAAGGATGAGTTGCGTAACCTGGGTGACACCGATAGCAAGAGCGAAGAGGACGAGGAACAACAGTTGGCAGAGCAAAAAGTACTTGTGAAACAATTTTGGAGAACATTCAACGTCAAGAAAGCTGTGGACTTCTTAGTGGAGGCATGGGATCAGCTGTCTGTAGCAACTGTTCGTCACGTATGGAGACATGTGTTGCAAGGTATTCCAGGTGGAAGGCAGAGTAAATCTGTGACTGGTGAGGTTCAGACTGTTGCAGTAGCAGTGGACCTTGCCAGAGAAGCTGCGCAGAGTGTTACAGCTGCAGGCTTCTCCGAGACCACCAACGACGACATCCTGGAGGTGATAAGGGATCCTGATGTGACTGACGACGAGATGCTAGATGATGATGACGTCAGTGAAGAAGCAGGTGGTGCGTCATCCCAAGAAGAATGCAAGTTATCGCACAGTAATGTAAGGGGTGCCATCTAGTGTGTTGAGATACTCAAGCTCCTCCTTTCCGATGACCCTGACGATAACCGGTATGAAGTCTTTACTACACAGCTGTTGCAGACTATGGACCCCTACATCAAGGTGTATCACGACAACATCAACACCAGCCGTCAGCAAAGCATTACCGAGTTCTTCGCCCGCAACCCACCACAGCCAGCCCAAGCCAGTGATAGAGACAGAGACAGTGATGGTGACTTTGAGGGATTTGTCAGGGAGGCACTAGTAAGTGTGGATGACAGTGATATAGACTCACCCGAGGGCCAGTAGCCTGCCCTCTGCCTCGGAACCAGCCTCCATTCCCGTACGCCGACCCATCTCTTCTACTAACGTAGGTGTTAACCCTAACCTTGTTTTTTTCTAACCTAACCTACAGTATATTATTCTCTTATTGATTGTTCCCTTCTATATTATGTGTGTGTGAATACCATCAAAAAGTTAAGATGTTATTTTTACTAAAACGTATGTATTGTGTCGGGAAAAAGTGGAGTTTGGGGGTCGGCCCAGTCTCTATTTCAATTAATTCCATATGTTATGTTGTTCACTTTACGCCTTTCTCGCTTTACGCGGGCCGCCGTGGGTTCAATTGACATCGTAAAGTGAGGGTTCACTGTAATTAAAAAAGATTCAGGTTGTTCAATTAACACTTGTAAGACAGAGGTAGACACATGATACAAATATTACAAGCAGATGACTGATTAGTATTCTTTTGCAAACTCATAACACAGACAACGGTAGATTCTAAACGTATTAAATTAACTGACCACAGTATCAAGTGGAAGGACACCTTCAGGTCTAAGGATAGAACAATTCCACATAGCAGCACGTGCAATCATCACACTTGAGGCTCCAGTCTCTTGTCGAAATCTCTCAATATCTTCATAGCATTTTATCTCCTTTGAGCCACCACTGCAAATAAAAAAAACACTCTTAATTATATTTTGTAAATAATTAATCTTATCTCAAGTCTGAGTGCTACTTTGCAAAGTAAAAGTATTCCATTTTATGGCCAAGAACCAAGATATCTCAGTACTGTACACTGGACATCCCACAATAGAGCCTGCTGGTGTCATGGGTCACAGCAGTTCAGTGGCAGGATGCAATACACTAATCAACTGAATACAGTAGAACCTTGATAAATCAGACTAACTGGGACAGACCCCAGTACCCCAAAAAGAGACTCTATGGGGGGGAGGGGGGAGGAATAACAGTTTATCTGAACTGTTTAAAGAAAATCATTTGTTGTTATTATTGCACTTCAACAACTCAGGTCTTTAAGTGTATAACAAGGTTATTAAGAGACTATTATATCAATAATTAAAAAAAATATGAAACAGAAATTTCTGGGTTGAAAATCAGACTTAAGTCTGGTTATAAACAACTGTTTTCACTGAGATGATTGTTATTTACTGTAGTGTATTTTTTTTTAAGTAACCACAGAATTTGGTTTATGAATAAAGAGAAAACTGTGCACTACTATAAAGATAAAAATAGGAACAAATAAGCGTAGAGGTATATTGTATGTGGAAAACAAGTGTATATCTGGGATTACTATTATTCTTTATTTCTGCCACTTATATACAGTGGCTAGTTTATTGTGCACCCCATAATCATCCTGTGAGCGGTAGCACAAAAGGATTACAGAGTAGAGTTCACAAAGGGTCTGTATAATTAACCCCTGTGGTCAGGATATTATGGCACTGAATGTTACAGAGTATTTCAAATAGATTCTTTGCTTAGTTCTGTACACAAAGGGTAATTTATCCACAACTGCGTGAGTAAAGGAGTGCGAGACAATATGTCTGGCCACACACTTTGTTATTCACTCTTACATGAGAGGTATTCAAGTGCATTGTGTGTTTGGTTCTATACAGGGGAACTGATATATATATATATATAGCTACTAAGTGCAGAAAATTGAATACAATCTTAATATGTCAGCTAACTTGCCATTACACGTAGATATAAAGTGTTGTGCCATTTCACACACAGTGTGCTTGGACCTGTCCCTAAAAGGTTCTGTCTTCACACAGTCGAGGACGTGGTTCGAGTGTGTGGCCATATGTCTGGCCACACACTTTACATTTAGTTTTGTTTACATCTGCTAGAAGGATATAGTACTGCCCGAGGAATTTATATCTTAACCTTAGTCTAGCAGTTACAACATCTTGTAATCTAGTGATCTTGTTACTTACTCCATATACATGATTCACTGGATACATCTCATCATGGTAAACAATGGACTGACTGGTGCCTGTATGCATTTGTCTGGTTGCGTCAAATTCATCAATAAGCTTCTTCCTAATTACAGTTTTAAGGGTTCTTTTTGACAGACCCAGATTGTATTCAACAGTATCTTTGTTAGACGCAAATTTGGCAAGGGCATCAACTCTGTCATGTTCTTTGAGGCCTATGTGAGAGGGGAACCACAACAGTTTGATCTTGACACCCCGGTCAACAAGTTACGCTTCAGAGACAAGCGCATGACAACTTAAGTTGAGGGTGTCAAGGGCAAGTAGTGAGGATAGAGAATCAGCGATGACGAGACTGTCAGTGACAGTGGTTTCAATAAATTTAATTGCTTTGAGTATGGCAACTAAATCAGTTCGTAGAGTGGATGCCCAGTTGTTAATTCTAACTCCTTTCTCGATTGTATTACCGTTAGGTTGCGTCACAACGATACCACTTCCAGCCCTCCCACAGGCAGTGCTTAGAGATCCATCATTGTAGATGATCTGTGTAATATTATTATCAGTCTGTAGGGTGTGTATGTGTTCAAGAGCTCTCACTTTGGCAGTGTGTTGGAGATAAATACTTTGTAAAATAAATCTTTTAGGCGAATACGTCGGTATTGTGATATCAAAGGGAACTGTCCGCCAGGGTGGTATGAAGTGCTGTTGTGTCTCAACTTTGTACATAATGTCTAGTCCAAACATCCTCCTATGTATAGCTGTAGTTTGGATCTATTTAGATTCACCAGTTCCATGGTTCATACATTTTAGCAATTTTAAGAAAACAATTTTATCAGGATCACCACGCAAAAGCCTCAGGGCTATCATGAGGTTGACTTCAATTATTCTATCTTTAACACAGGGTATACCTAGTTCTTTCCTCATATTAAGTGCTTCAATCCTCAAGGGACAGCCTATGATAATTCTGGGGGCTTCATTTTGCATTTTTTCGAGCTTGTCAATGCCTTCACGGGCGGGTGGCTCCCTTTCTCCCCCAAGATTCCTTTAACACATCTCTATGCAATTTCACCATAATTCTCATATCACTTAGGTTCAGTTAGTGCTGCTTTGTTAAAATACTATCATAAAAGAATCATCTTTCCTGAAAAAGAATCCCACATTCAACACCATGAATCACTTATTTACAAGAGCAAACAGCTGATGGGCTTAGCTCTTTCACCACTCATGCTTACCCCAATGTCTGTCTTTAACAATTAGTAAATTAGTACAGTACAGTTGTGTATTTATCATCACTTAATAAATACTATTGCAGTGTATTTATCATCACTTAAGAAGTAATATTGTAGTGCAAAGTATTATGCATCTGCCAAAGTGAGCCATCGTGTATCACTCAAAAGTGTTATAATGACCCTGTTGTAAGCTGGTTTACTGAAAGTTCTCACACAAATGCATCCTGGGTGAATACCTTCCAATACAGCTCATCCTTTAATTTTCAAGTCATATTACAAATTACATACCCGGTACTGTATTTTCTCTATTATTGAAGATGTTATATTAACCATGATGAACCATACATTATAAGAGGCTAACCATACTAAACATAATACTGAATCTAATACAGAATCAATAAATAAACCTGGTGAATGTGGCAATGCCTGATCACCCCCCTGCAACCACCAGCCTGCTTACATATGCAGTGTCTTAGATCTCGTTAGGCCTACAGCAAATTTGATTAAACTTCTGTACAGTATTCAGTGAGTAAGAGTTGTTATTTTCATAAGAATATATTTTTTCCAAAATTCTTAAAATATGTACAGTATGTACAGTGATATCCCCGTTAGCCGGAACAATTGGTGCAGAGCACTCCCAGGGATGAGAGATTTCTGGGTAACAAGACGACTTTCTCAAACCCGGAAAAATTTCTTATCCCAGGAACTTTTTCCGGTTACTGGGAAAAGTTTCAGTGTCTAAATTAGACATCTTGCACAGACAGTCACTAGCCCACTTCCCCAGAACGTTTCTCAGTGCTGGAATTTTTTTTTTTTTTTTAGTCTAAACTACTGGAATCCATAAATACAGCTCTAATTATGTTAGAAACTTCATTTCTTTACTATAAAAATCCCAAAATAGTTTATCTAAAAGTTGGTTAAATAAATATACAGTATATAAACAATTAAAATCTATTGGATATGGGTGTGAATGAAGCTGTGTCTTACAGCAAAGATTGGTATTTTCCACTCCCATGGAGCTGTGGGGGATTAGTGGGTCTCATGTAACTGACCTGACCTAATGCAATGTCAGGTGGAGGTAGGATGAAGGATTAGTGTTCTCATAATACTGACCTGCTGGAATGCCAGGTCACCCTTTCTTGGGTGGAGAATTAGTGGGTCTCATGACCTGAATATGTCTTAAATAAAAATGAAACCTAAAGTACTTTTAGAGAGATTGTGGTAAGTACAGATATAAGTATAAATGAGCAAAGTTGTTGGGGGTGTGTGTGGGTGATGTAGAGGTGTGTGGGTGGTGTTGAAGGGTGTGTGTGGGTGGTGTTGGAGGGTGTGTGCAGGTGGTGTTGGAGGGTGTGTGCGGGTGGTGTTGGAGGGTGTGTGTGGGTGGTGTTGGAGGGTGTGTGTGGGTGGTGTTGAAGGTGTGTGTGTGAGTGGTGTTGGAGGGTGTGTGGGTGGTGTGAGGTGTGTGGGTGGTGTTGGAGGGTGTGTGTGGGTGGTGTTGGAGGGTGTGTGCAGGTGGTGTTGGAGGGTGTGGGGTGTGTGGAGGGTGTGTGTGGGTGGTGTTGGAGGTGTGTGTGGGTGGTGTGTGTGTGGTGTGTGTGTGGGTGGTGGAGGGTGTGTGTGGGTGGTGTTGAAGGTGTGTGTGTGTGTGGGTGGTGTTGGAGGGTGTGTGCAGGTGGTGTTGGAGGGTGTGTGGTGGTGTTGGAGGGTGTGGGGTGGTGTTGGAGGGTGTGTGTGGGTGGGTGGAGGGTGTGTGGGTGGTGTTGGAGGTGTGTGTGGGTGGTGTTGGAGGGTGTGTGTGGGTGGTGTTGGAGGGGTGTGTGTGGGTGGTGTTGTGTGTGGGTGGTGTTGGAGGGTGTGTGTGGGTGGTGTGTGTGGGTGGTGTTGGAGTGTGTGTGGGTGGTGTTGGAGGGTGTGCAGGTGGTGTTGGAGGTGTGTGTGGGTGGTGTTGGAGGGTGTGTGTGGGTGGTGTTGGAGGGTGTGTGTGGGTGGTGTGGAGGGTGTGTGTGGGTGGTGTTGGAGGGTGTGTGTGGGTGGTGTTGGAGGGTGTGTGTGGGTGGTGTTGGAGGGTGTGTGTGGGTGGTGTTGGAGGGTGTGTGTGGGTGGTGTTGGAGGGTGTGTGTGGGTAGTTGTTGGAGGGTGTTTTTGTGTGTGATGTAGGGGTCTATGTGTGATGTGTGAGTGGTGTTGGTGTGTGTTGACGGAAGCGAACCTTGTTGGGGGGTAGGGTCGCGTGGTCAGTCTCCCTCCCCTTCTCACTCAAACATGGCTAATTGTGATATGGAGATGAATTTGACACCATAATTATCCTTAATAATTTCTCTATAAAACATTTCCAATACGATATTCTTAAACGAAATATTTCTATATGATATAGTGATGATGGGAATTCCAGTCTTTTATAAAAAAAAAATTAAGAAATGTTGATACCTGAGTCAGTAAAATCAATTCTTATTTCGTTAGACACACCATTTTTTATCAAAATAAT